AACAATATGTAACGATCTAATAGCAATCTTGGCATAACACATTGCCCCAGACAGTTTGAAACCAAATGTACAACCTATTTTACTTATAGCATGGTGATTTCCAAGTGAACCATCACCACTTGCTAGAAGAACATTAGTAACCTTTAATACCGTATAGAATAAAAAACCCCACAAACTTTCCATAAAACATTGAGGCCTAGAGAACCTACAAGTACTAAATTTTGAAATATAAGCTACCCACCCTTGAGAACCACCTTCACACACCCCTCCCCCCCCGTAATCCTCTTGCGTGAGAGAATCTCCCACACCTGCCTCCTTGGAGACAGAACTCAGGATTACCACCCAAAAAACCCACAAAACAACCAATGCCATTGAAATGGAGTTTTACTGAGTCTCCACCACCACCCTCCCCGCCATCATAACATGCAAAGACAATCCCGAAAAAACTTCCACGAACACCTGTGCCATGGTACGCATGAAGACAAATAACAATAAGACCATTAAAAACCTGAAGAAAGAGTTTAAAATTATAGTTATAAGTGATAACAATATTATTACATTCAGCTTCATGTTTGTTTCTACTCCTCATAAATATGCTTTTTACAGGATAATTTATAGAAGAAAACACCTTCCAACTCCTAATGCATTCACTTTACAGAGAGCTACCTGGCCAACAATGTGAAATGGAGAGCAAATGCCAGCCAATTTAAAGTAGGCTTGTTGCCACATAAAATTATGGACTGGCTGCTACGAATAGATATTTAAATTATTGGCTTGCTCCTATTCAAGAAATGCAATGGAACTGATAATTCATAGAAGAAAACACCTTCCAACTCTATAAGAACTTTATAAGATTACTCTTGAGGAAGACCTTTGAAATGAGTGTAAAAACCGGTGTACTCATCGAGTAAAGAGAGGAAAATGCTGGACTCTGTTGAGAAAATGAATAAGTTGGACTCTGTTTCAATGCAAAATTGAGATAATGAATAAGTTGGACTCTGTTTCAATGCAAAATTTATTAAATGTGTCATTGTCATTGTTCAACTGTAAGTATTGCCATTCTACATAAGCGGACTAATCATAGCTAGACCTCAGCTGAGAGAATGACAAAAAGTAATCATTGTCCTCTTTCAACTCATCCAACGTTAAAAATCCCCTTATCAGTTCAAGCCTTCCACACAAAAGATTTCTTCCCAATTTTTATATCTGGGTTGGCCCATAAAGTTAATTTTGAATGTGAAAATGGGTCAAATTAATATTGTAATACCAATGTACACCATTGTTTCCTAGTTGCAGAAATTGTAGGAAGAATAATATCAACTCTAGCATAAGTAGAACCTAATGCATTCCACCTATCAAGGGGCACCAGACAAGAGGCCTCTGGGAAAGAATATCAGGTATCATTTAATTTAAAATCAGTCTCAACTGTACGTTCCTTGTTTTTAATGGATTTAACCATCACTTTAGATAGCTGGATCTTGGTTTGTTTTAAAGCTGTTCCTCCTCCCCCCTCTTTCTTTCTTTCTTTCTTTCTTTCTTTCTTTCTTTCCACTGAGGTCAAGAGGGGCAATTGTCCTGAGAAGAAAAATTGAAAAGAAAATAAGGCCTCATCTTACCACAGATTTTCTGGTGATTGTTAGAGCTACATTTGTCTCTTCCAGGTAGTTATAGGAATCAACATTCAGAACTTATGGTAAGCAGCCAAGACTTTACTTTCATTTTTCATTTTTTTTCCCAGGCAGACTCTGCCCCCCTAACCCACCTGCTGATCATCTGGCACTGCCTGGCAACCTTAAAAGCAGGCCCAATTAGTAATACAGAAGGTTTTATGATGCCTCTAGACATTCACTTGTTAAGGCCTTAAAGGATGAGGGAATAGAGAAAATGCTTATTAAATTTGCAGATGACACTAAACTGGGAGGGGTAGCAAATATGGAAGAAGACAGAGTCAAGATACAGGATGAACTTGACAGGCTAGATATATATGGGGATATATGTAAAGTTCTGCATTTAGGTCGGAAAAATTAAAAGCATAATTGTAGGATGGGGGAGACTTGTCTTGGCAGTAGTATGTGTGAAAAGTATCTAGGAGCCTTAGTAGACGATACACTGAACATGAATCAGCAGTGTGATGTGGTAGCTAAAAAGGCAAATGCAGTTTTGGGCAGTATCAACAGAAGTATAGTGTCCAGATCACACGAGTGATGGTATCGCTTTGCTCTGGTTAGACCTCACCTGGAGTATTGTGTATAGTTTTGGGCACTACGTTGGGGTCAGAAAGCAATTTTTCTCCAGGCCAGTTCCTGGAGGACCTTTGTCATTTTCTGGGTATGGAATAGGGCTCACTGAGGGTGGGGAGAGGTATTGTGCAGGGGGTTGTACTAGATGACCCTGGAGGTCCCTTCCAACTTGATGAGTCTATGAGTTAGGTTAAATTTTCCCTTGTAACATTCCTCAGGTCCTTTGAAGGGTAATATTGCTGGTTTCCGTAACTGGAGCATCCTTGTGGTTCACACTTATTGACAATAACTGTAAGATATTGGGATTTTCTTACCAGGAACCTCAGGAGGATTACACCAATTTCATAATCTCATAAACTCATAATCCTGTTACCTTCTCTAGGAGTACATTAATTTCAAAGAATAGAAACTCATTTTGAACATGTAAGTTTTGGGATGCAACACTATAATTCGTGGAAAGTGCCTTCAGATTACAACTGATTTATGCTGACTCAATAAGGTTTTCAAGGCAAGAGGCAATCAGAGGTGATTTGACATTGCCTGCATCTGTGTTGTGACCCTGGACTTCCTTGATGAAATCTGAAAAAATTGGGCTAGCCTGAGCAAATCCAGGTCAGGGCAACAATGCAATTGATGTATATATTTTCCCTTCTTATCATTATTTCTTTATTTCAGTATCTGTTGCATTCAATATTTCCCACTGGGGTTTGATACTCATATTCATTGTAAATTATTATTTGTTTTAAAATTAAAGTTATTGAATATATTAGTGCTATTTGCTTAAATTATCTATATAGTTTACACTGCAACGATTATCCCACTTGGAGTTTCTCAGTGGCATGATCCCAAGCACAGCCTTTCTGGGTTACCAGAGTATTACTCTCCTCTCCTCCTTTTCTCAGCAGTCAGGCCACCCCCCCCCCACCTGGTTCAATCCAGCCCATTATCTTCCAGTGGATGCACATTAGTCTTAAAGGTTGCTGTTGTGGAGGTGGTTTTCAGTGCTTTCTGCATATTATCTTCTCTTTGCTATTCAAATCTGGCCTCAGCAAAATTATATAGCATTTGGGGGAAAAGATACAGCCTAGTAACCCAGCACTGGAGGCCAAAATAGAGAAGATCTCCACAGCCACCATGTATTTTCCCTTGGTGCTCAAATAGGTTGGGACAAAGGACAGCCAAACACTGCAAAAAACCAACATGCTGAAAGTAATGAATTTGGCTTCATTAAAACTGTCAGGTAACTTTCTGGCTAGGAAAGCCACAGTGAAGCTGACAATGGCCAGGAAGCCCAGGAAGCCCAAGACACAGTAAAACATGGTGACTGACCCTTCATTACATTCCACTACAATTGCTTCAATAGCTGAGTGTGTGTCAAAATCTGGGAATGGTGGACTTGTTGCCAGCCAGACAGTACATATAACAGCTTGTATAAGAGAGCTGAAAAGAACAATGAAGATGGTCAGTTGATTCCCCATCCATTTTCTCATCCTGGACCCTGGCTTGGTGGTCATGAAAGCCAGAACTACAGTGATAGTTTTGGCCAAGACGCAAGAAACAGCCACTGAGAAAATGATGCCAAATGTCATTTGCCGAAGGAGACAGGTCACCTTACTTGGGTGACCAATGAATAGCAAAGCACAAAGGAAAGAGAGTGTGAGAGAGATGAGGAGAGAGTAGGTCAGATTCCGGTTGTTGGCTTTGACTATGGGAGTGTCCAGGTGCGTAATGAAGATCCTGAGCACCGAAAGTGTGATGAACAAAAAGGAAAGAGCAAAAATGACCAGACTGATCCCCAATGGTTCTTCATATGACAAGTAGCTTATACCTTTTGGAAGGCATTGATTCTTCTCATTATTTGGATAGTGATCTTCTGCACATGGAAAACAATCATCCATATCTGAAAAAGAAAATGTTATTTTCATACATGGAAACACTATACATGGTGCATATCAGGTAGTAAGTATTAACTTTGGAAATCCTCAGTGATGGATGCTACGACAACCTCTGAAAGACATGCTTCTAACTTTTTTTTGCGATGGGCAAAGAAAGCCTTAATGGCCATCAGAAAGTGACAACTGAAGGTATATGTGTTCTTTTCATTTGATAAACAGGTAATTGTGATTGCCTCCACCTTCTTTGAATATGCTATGATACCTCCTTTTCGCTCTCTGCAACAGGAAGACCAGTACTCCTGCCTGGTTCTAGGTAAAACCATAAAGGTTTTGCAAAATGCTAGAGTGTCCACCATGTCACTTTCATTTTCTACCAGAAGTGATGTAAGCATGCCAGCAAGACTCCAGAGTGCTTCCCCTCACCCTGTATTTACTCCCAGAGGTTCCCAGCTGAAGCTTGGTATAACTCTACTCCACAGTCCTGTGTTTCTATATCAGTTCTTTACATGTAAGGGTATATTTTGTTCTTTTAAAAATATTTTTTACAATTCATTTAGGTCACTGATATAACACCACTTTTAAAATGCTCAGCAGAGCTCCCAATTATAAACAGAACAATTAATCATGAATTCCTTAGAACTCATTTCACAGAATTTCAAAGTAGGGTAAAAACGGAAATAAAAAATGGATCAATTAAAAGCCCTTCTTTAGATGCCAAAAATGTACATATTTGGGACAAAGAAATCAAAGCTCAATGGGGCTAAGTGATCACTCCCCAAATAAGAACATAAGAGAAGCCCATGTTGGATCAGGCCAATGGTCCATCTAGTCCAACACTCCGTCACACAGTGGCCAAAAATAGCAGTGCCATCAGGAGGTCCAGCAGTGTGTCCAGGAACTAGAAGCCCTCCCACTGTTGCCCTCCCCAAGCACCAGGAATACAGTGCATCACTTGCCCCAGCCTGATAGCCACTGATGGACTTCTGCTCCATATGGTTATCTAATTCCCTCTTGAAGCTGTCCATGCTTGTAGCTGCCACCACCACCTGTGGCAGTGAATTCCATGTGTTAATCACTCTTTGGGT